GGCCTAAAAAATGCAAATACTGAATTCTTTTGAAGAAAATGTTTGGCTTGGCTTCTCTTCTGCTCTGTACTTCAAGGCGTTCAGATTTGTGTCTGTAAAGTTCTCTGAAGATCAGATTTGAAACAGTTGGGGTGCAGTGTTTATAGCTAAGTTTCTCTGGAGCCTAATAATTTCTTTGATGTGTAAAATGGTCTGTAAACTGAGAGAGCCTAGTTCATTCAAAATTAATACGCAACAGATCTACTTAACATTAGCTTTATTTTTCCTTCCAAATCAAATTTCTGCAAGTTTCTGATGTATATTTTATTCAGATCTAAAAATTAAATTGCCAGAAAAGATAGCTTCCTGATATTTCTAAGGCTTACGATATATTTCTTGAGATGAGATAGACCAGCAGCAAAAAAATACACCTTCTAACAAGAATTCCACGTTGCAATGAATCTCTTTGTACTCTATAGGAGACAAATTGTACAACTATTTAATAGCCTGGTAAAACTAGCATTCTGTTAATTTAGGAGGTTATTGATTCATATTTGCGTAAGAGAAGTTATCTGGAAGAAACTGGAAATCTAATATTTTAAGTACAATGTTGATAAATGCATTCAATGGTGATTTTCTTTTTAAGTTATGTTTACATTGTCGTAATGCTTAAGTGCTTGTATATAGTATCTAAGGTGGTGACCCTGTTTTATGTTCTTTGTTTTCTTAGAAACCTGAGCAGACTGCTTGGCATTATACATTCAGTTTTCATTCTTGCTGCTTAGAACATGACTTTGTTAATCTCTTTGTAAATCATGTTCTTGCTCTACAGAATAAGTAATTCGACTTAAGTCCTTTATGTATCCAGGGGGTTTTAATTGCTTTGTGCTAATGTTATTTTGTTATTCTCAGGCAAAAAAATAAAACAACCAACCAAACAACAGAAAACTAACTTCAAAAAACCCCCACAAACCTAGTGGCTTAAATTTAATGTAAAACCATAAAATGCATTTAGACCAACACATAAACTAAGCAAGCCAAGCAATGTCAGGAGTTTTGCTCTTCTTTCTGTGATAAAAGAGATTTATGTGGTTTCTTTTATTAAGTATGGTAACTTGTTGGAACCTGCAGAAGTGTCGCTGGATAAGAGATGCAAAGCTCAGTGTTGCATTTTTCCCCTTTGTATTGTGTAATGACATACATGAAACAAAATATATGGATGCCTCGTCATTCTTTTGGTAAAGCATTGTTAAGTCAGACTAATGCGGGGTTTTGACGTAATAAGAAGAAACAAATATTCTGTACTAAATGACTGGAAGGACTTTCTCTTTTGGCTCACCTGCAGATGTAACTGTTGCCTACTTTTGTGTATTTATTTGTGGAGCTAAAGCGATTTTGAGTATGCTGGCTTGCCTGGCCACCTTTAAGCTGCTGTGCAGGCACTGTGGTGTTTTTACATGTGTCTGTGTCACCTTTTACACCCAGCTGAGCACAGGAAATTAACACCACCCTGGTTACAATGGCAGGCCAGTTCTGTAAGCCCTACTTCTGCCCATTGCTGCGGTGTTGCCAGGTTGTGAATATATCGAGCTTCTGAAAAGAGGAAGAAAGAAGAGTTAGCAAAAATGGAACTCTGAAAAATAGTAAATAGAAGATACAACACTGCAGGTTACTTTAGACCTAAAAATCCTGGTGTTCATACTGAAATGATGGTGAGAGTGATGGCTGCTTGCTCTGTCCAAGTCAGCTAGACATACTGATACTACTCGCTTCCAGCTCGTATTTTCCCATACATTGGGGTGCTGCACCTATACGACTTCCTGTGTTAAAACTCCCAATTCAGTTTCAGTCAGCCCAAGTAGATCAAAACCAGGGTGTGAGGAAGGAGCTGAACCTGGTCATTGCAGTGCACAGAGTATTGCCCACTGTTGCAAAGGCATCTGCTGTGCTATGAGTGTGGTCTGCTGCAGGGATACCACAGGAATCAAGCTGTTACTAGAATTACTGAGCAGCTTTCCTCTGAAGCTTGCCAGTCCTCAACTCTCATTGACATTCAGAGGTGCTCAGCACTGAGCATTGGGTTCTTCGTACTTCATTGCTTCCATCAAAGCCTCTTGTCCTCCTGAGCTGCTCCACTGTCACCTCCTGGCTCACATGCCAGCAAGTAAGAGATGAAGAATGTAGTAGTTCTGAGAATGAATTGTGTCCCACTTTTAAATCAGAGAAAGAAATGCCATTGTTGTTAACAGCACAGAATCCAGTTCTGCAGTAGGAAGGACGAGGATTATAATTTAGTTGGATACAGCCAACAAGTACCATTCCAGGTACCAACAGTGAAAATCAAAAGGAAAGGGTTGCACACCTACAGCTGTAGTTCTTTACAGCATTTGCATTGCATTCTGTACTGTTTGTCAGTGCTGAAATTTAGGGGAAGTTTGCAAGGATTAACTCGTGTGTTGGTTTCTTAGCTGTGTGTTTACAGAGAGAAAACACTGTCAAGCCAAAAGTAAAACCTGATCTTGCTCTCTTTAGGTGTGGCCTTGTCCCCCGCAATATCATCAAGTTAAATAAATGATAGAGGGGCTGGAAGCTTTTACTGGCACTTCCCTCATTCTGTGCTCTCCCTCACTTGAAAACTTAGGAAAGCTATGTCATGGTCCAAAACACTGAAAAAACAGACATTTGAAAAAGCAGCATGTATTTAATTAAGCTGTCAGTCATTAACAGTCAAAATGGGCAGAGTGCACAGCACATTTAGATGGTGTTGGCTTAGTTTTATTAAATCAGTAATTGAAAATAATGAACTCAGGCCTTCTAGAAATCTTCTAAGTGATTCGTGGCTTGATTCCCTCTTTAAATAACTATGTATGATTTTGTGTGTGTCCACACACAAGGCATGTACATGGATATTCACACAGATTCCCACTGCACTAGTAGCAGTTAGCACATGGGCAGCTGTGTGTCATGGGGAACGTAGGTCTGTGCAGGATAAGGTGGGCCCTGGGACCATCTGCAAGCTTGGAGAAGCAAAGCACTACCCCTCAGTCCCACGATGTTTCTCACCCCTGTCTGTGCTGGCAGTTTTGCTCACTTGTGGGGGGTTATGTATTTTGCGTATCAGAGGATTTTAAAGGTTTGCTAAGAGCACACACAGGATGGTCCTCTGCAGGTCCTTCTGTGTGTTGGCTTTGGGCTGTTTTTTGGGGGTGGGAGGTTGGCAGGACTGATTCATAGGCGTGTCAGTATTCTAGGAAGGAAACCCTTTTTTATAATGGAAGCCCTAACTTTGATTTCTGTTGGAGCTCTTTCAGCAGCTGATTTTTGAACAGGATTGTGAGTGACACCTGAGGTGACTTACACATTCACCACAATGGAGTGTGGGTCATATGCGCATCCCAGTCCCTCTTGTTAACCTCCTGTATGGATCTTGCAGCACTTTTTCCACCTGTAAAACTGATTTTTCAAAGCTGTGACATCTTCAGCGTGACATTGAGCCCTCCAGCCAGTCCCTCATTATAAAACAATTTTTCTGTTACTAACCAGCAGTACTAACTGGTACTTTTGCTGTCGGCATGAAGTGATGGTTTAAAGAATGCACATCTTGCTGCAAGGCTTGGCAGTGGTGCCTTGAGCTGCCTGTTTCTTTGGGAAGTTTGGACTGTGTTAAGAACAAGCCGTAGGGTCTGTTGAGTTAGGTTGCTTCTTACAGAGCGGGGTGAGGAGGGCTCACAGCTCCTGAGGTTGGGTACAACCCACATAACCCAGGACCCTCAGCCTCCTGCCAGGTTTTCAGCGGGACCTTTGTCACCGACACCAGTGGAGCGGGTTCAGGTACCGGTGCAGAAGCACCTGAAGGAAGGGGGATCCCAGAGTACCAGACCTAAGGAGCCACCAGCCCATTTGGAAGTGGGGAGTGCACGGTGAACCTCTTCTGACTATACTTTCCCATACACACTTTCCATCTGAACAACTGCTTTCCTATTTTCCAGTCACACTGCAATGGTAACTCCCTGGTCACTGACAAGTGTTATACACACTGCTAGGAGACCAGGCAGCTAAACGATTCACATGCACTATGTTCACTGTAAAAATTGGCTTCTTATATTGTTTCTTTTTACATGGTTGAAGAAGTGGTTGCGCTTCAGATTTTTTGCTTTTTCATTTGTCTTTTTAAAGAGGTCAGGTGTATAGAGGTGCATGTTATCCTCAACTTTTTCTTTGTACATCTTGGTGTCTGATCATCTGCATGGAAGACACAGTAGTGCCATGTCTGAGCTTGTTCTCTTGTGCTTGGTTGATATGAACTTCTCTAGATTGTTGCGTTTTCCCCAAAATAACCTTGATTAATATTTAGTTATTGGGACACATCAAAGCAAACCATCATAGTGGCCCTTTGTTTTCTTACGGTTTAAATACAAACAACAAAGCCTTGTGGTTTCAAGTTAATTTGTTAGTGTAAATAAATTTCTTGCCAATGAGTGTTGTTGTTAGACAACGAATGCAATAAAATGAGAAATCTGGAATCTTTATTAGAATTTGTATTGAGTCCTCACTTTTCCTGCCCCTGGTCATGCCAGGAGAAATAACACTGGTGAGCACAACTGGACAGCTGTTGCTGCGTGGGTTAGAAGGGGGGGTGAAGGGGGATGTGGACCTTGCCCTGCTTGTTCTTTCCTTCCTTCTGCTCAGTGCTGAAGATTAGTTTAATCCCAGTTCTTGGCTAAATTGGCACCATTCACAGGCCTCCAAGTGGGTCTCATTTACAATCTGTAATTATGTAAAAAGTAGTAAAAAAGAAAATACAGTAGGGAAAGGGAATGGCCTTCTCTCTTCATCTGCAGATGAAAAGTAGTGTGCAGGGAAAATAGGCTGCCTTCACACAGATGCTGGTCCATGTTTGTCTGTTCAGAAGACCTGGATTAGTTATGGTATATAAAAGCATTTTACAGTTTTACACTTAAATGTAGGTTAGGTATAATGGCCACTTTATACGTTCAAAGAACAGCAGTTCTTCTGCTAAGCATGTTTAATATGTCTTTGTTTATTTTATTTTATTAAAGCATTACATTGGAGAAAGCAGAGGGCACAGATTGTCCAATTTGTGTAGTCATTTCAGTGGATTTGCATCTGGCAGAATCTAGGCCAAATACTCTGCACTTAATCTCTCTAACCCAGTCTGTGTTTCTCAGCAGCCAAGTCATAAAGCTTACATTCTGCTAATATGGGTACCACCTTAATTGTTATCTTAATTAAAATAGGTATGTTAAGAGGCTGTAAGTCCATGACTGACTTGTACAATGTGTCTGCTCAGCAGCTTCCTAAGCCTGGAGCAGTCTATACATATGTCCCCATTGTTTGTGCAAAGTGGTCTCAGATTCCTGCACTTTGGTGTCTGAAATGGCCAGAACTGCTCCAGGCTCTACAGTCTGTAAAAGACGATGGGTTATGCTTTCCTCCAGGCTGCAAACCCAGATTTGCCCTGTGCAGGTCACCATGTCATTGTGAGGCCAGGCTTGAGGCGAATCTTCCTCCATTGCTGTTTCCGCACTGAGACTGATTGATGGTTTCACCGAGTGGTGATTTCATGCTCAGGGGTAGAAGCTGTACCCAGCACTGATTTTGCTGCAGAATGCGTGCTTGCTGTCTGTGTCCTGCCCAGCACCATCTTCATGCATGCTGGCCCAGCTTCAATTCCCAGTTCTGCACTGCGAGGCTGGGGCACCCTTAAAGGTTGGCAACAGGCTTCCAAGCTACTTGCCTCAAGTTAAAATTCAAAATTTTACTGTTAGCAACAATTATTACTACTAAAATTATCAAAATAATTTTTAAAATACTACTATTAAAAATTTTGCTATTAGTAAAAATCACATTGGCAGCAGGTACTAAGTCCTACCTATGATCTCTCTCTTCTCAAACGCTTTAGGAAAAGGCCAATCGCTTGCATATGTTTCTGTCTGCAGGCAGACTGCTGGGAAAATCTCCACCACAGGAACCGTGTAAAAAAAGAGGGGAAAAATAAAAATCCAGTGATGAGTGAAAACATGATTTTCTGAAAGGCCAAAACCCAACAAAAAAGTAGAAGGCTGAAAGATCCAACAGCGTGTAGATTTGTTCATCTGAAGATGTTCAAAGCTACTGGAAAATGAAATTAATGCTTGATGGGTTACTTCTACCACTGCTGAGGGAAACGCTAGTTGTTGTATTTCTACAACCACAGAGTAAACCCAGGACCAGTGGAGTGACCGGCTGGTATTTCAGCTGTTACTGCCACGGCTGCAAAACTCCAGTTCTTTAGAAGGTGGCACTTGATTTACTTGAGAACAAATAGTGGCAACAGCCTAATGATTATTCCAAAATGCTAGTATAGGATGGCTAATCACAAAAGAGTTAATAGCCCATTCTCTCCTTATTGTGAGAGCTTCCTTCAGGGCAGCTTTTCTGCTTGGGCTCTAGGAATAAGATCTGCTCCTCCAGGCTGAACACGGATTACAAGTAGGAAAGTGCACCACTTCTCAGGGAAGCTGAAAATGTCCTGCAGGGAGAGAAGTTGCTAAAGAAGGCGCAGCAAAGCCAGAGCTAAGGCAAATTCTGTTCTCAAGTGCTTGGTGCACTCAGCTGATGCCAAAAGCAGGTCCAGCAAAGCCACGAGACAAAAGCCCCCCTCATTCAAGGCCAGCTCAGCTCTGTGGAAGGGCTGTCTGCATGTCATCGTTAGCAAAAGACTTGAAACCACAATCTGAACAGATGAGTCCCTGTCACCAGAGTCTTCATGGGCACACAGTGAACCCCGGGCAGTGCTCAGGTCCCCACAATGACTGTGGGCATTTTGGAAGGGAGCTACAAACACAGTTTATATACAGACCTGCTAATGCAGGGCCTTGCCCAAGATACAAGGTCACTTGGCTCACTTGGCTGCATGGTTAACCCTAATGCTCAAGTCTGCTCCTCTAGCCAGCACTAGACCCCTGCAGCATGTGCTATTTGTAGTCAGAACATCACAGATACCAGCACCACTCTTGTGCAGGGTGTGAGCTGCCTGGCATGGCAGCAGTGGGAAGCTGCCTCCATCAGGCAGGACGCAGTGATCAAGCTGACGTGCTGCTGGCTCAGTTCTTGAACCTCTCAGAACAAGGGACGTGACTTACACCAGTGTCTGTACTGTGAGCCAGCAGCGTGCAGGGGCTCCGGCTGGAGCAGATACTCTCCAGGGATGGGAGGTGATGTGGCAAGACCCACAGCTCACTGCAGCTGTGCCAAGGAAGGGGGATGGCACTGTCCCTCTCACACAGAAATGCAGCCCCAGCCACGAGCTCTGGCACTGACTCCTTGCTCTGGTTAGAGCTGTCCCTTTGCCTAGCAGAATGAGCAGGAACTCCTTTATACCAGTGGAGGAAAGGCACAGCGCAGGAGCCAAGAGGTGCCAGCACACGCTGTTCAGGGCTACTGGTCACGCAAACCTTAGCCCGCAGTCATGCCTCCTCTTAGCCAGAAGATCCAAATACAGGTGACGGTTTGCACATATTCTGGCTCCTGTCTCCACGTTCAAGCTGCTACAGAACAGGTTATTTGCAGGTTATTTATCTTGTAGGCAGAAGCACTCCGGAGTTTTCCAAGTACTGGACTTCCCATGTACCCTTCAGATTAGAAGGTGCTGTTGGCTGATGGTGAAGCACATTGCAGGAGGGAACTGCAAAGCTAGAACATCAAGCAGCATCCAGGAACTGGCTCTTTCTCCTCCTGAGGTCGCACTTCACAAGCAGCCTACCTTTATTTCTCCACACAGGGGTGAAAGGACAGCAGAGAGGAAGGATGCAGAGGGAATGGTGGCTCCTGGGGAAGGTCTGTCCAGTGACACCATTCAGAGAGGCAGCCAAGCCTCTGAGAGGTGCCAGCCCAGGCAGCACAGCAGCAACCCCAACAGGGGAGCCACCACCAATGACACCAAGACTTCAGCTAGATGTCAGCATCATAGCAGCCTTCCAGTACCTGAAGAAGGCCTATGAGAACGCAGGGGAGGGACTCTTCAGTAGGGACTGTAGTGACAGGACAAGGGGTAATGGGTTCAAACTTAAACAGGGGAAGTTTAGATTGGATATAAGGAAGAAGTTCTTTACTGTAAGGGTGGTGAGGCACTGGAATGGGTTGCCCAAGGAAGTTGTGAATGCTCCATCCCTGGTGCTGTTTAAGGCCAAGCTGGACAGAGCCTTGGGTGAGATGGTTTAGTGTGAGGTGTCCCTGCCCATGGCAGGGGGGTTGGAACTAGGTGATCTTAAGGTCCTTTCCAACCCAAACCATTGTATGATTCTATGGTGTCTCACAAAACCAGAGCTGGGAACTCAGAGGATGAACAAGAGCAGCAGGAGCTACTCTGTGGGTAAGGGTGTCTATACTAATGCAAGGAAACCAAGTGGTGGCTCAAACAAGGGCTTTGGCCAGACTGGAGTCTTGTTGTTCACACTGGACAGCACAAAACCCGATTTCCAACTTCAAAAACACACAATTCGGTCTATTGCAAGTGACTGCTAACCAACACCATTCTAAAATCACCAGCTGCTGGAACCCTGAAGAGTTCTTCTAGCAGTGCCAACGCTATCAGTAACTGCTGCTGGATAAACGTGCAGTGGGTACCTGATGCACAGAAGCATCGTGGGAATCGGCTCCATGCGGATGGGAAGTTAAACAGAACACGTGTAACCAACACTTGGGGGTTGTCACTGTGGCAAAGCACCCAGAACTGCTCCCTGTGCTGTGACAGACACCAATAACTGCGAATGCACTTTTCACTGACGTGCTTGGGAGTTGTTCCCCACTCTTTAAGAAAAAAAAAGGGCTTTTTTAAACTCCCTTTGGGCGACTCAGCAAGAAACCACTCCTGAGTGGCACCCTTTGCTTTGGAACTGAAGTGATGGTAGAAAATACCTTAAAGGGGGCAGAGGGAAGAAATGAGACTGAAGTAACATTTATTCTCCTTCCGATTATTTCAGAAGCATTAGGGAACGCTGACAGGAGGATTTGGAAGAAGAACCCTCCGCACAGTGCCAGGCCAGGGGTCGGTGACAAGAAAGCACACCACACTGGTAGTCAGCAATTCTCATTTACAAAATCAGTTTTCTCTGGGGGGGGGACGGGGGACAACAAACAAAATCTACAACTCCAGCAGCAACAGCTAATTCAGTGTCTGACAGTTTAGCCATCTGTAATCTGAACTTGAATTTCAAGGTTACCATTTGTTACTGGCATGAGGTCTTTCCCATTGCACAAATAAGCTAATTCCTCACCTTCAATTTCCTTGACTATTGGATAAAACTCTTGTTTTGGAGAGGAAGACTATGATACATTTCCATGACTCTAGTTACCTTTATTGGAACAGTCTTCTTGTTAGCAAGTCTAGCAGAGACTAAGTGAGTTCCCAAGGAACTAAATCCTTCCCACTTCAGCAGATCTTACCGCGGCAAGCTATAGCTCACAGTAGAGAGCTCTGTGGAAGACTGTGCCGATGAGCAGTTTTCCCTCGTAGACGGATGCCACGGAGCTTCCCTGCAGCACAGAGCCATTGTCGGCATAGACGCGTGTCACCACAGGCTCTTCTGAGAGGATGTTCTGGATGCGCAGGACCTGCCGGAGGAGGGGGATACAGCTGCTGAGACGGCCGCAGGTGAGAATTCTCCATGGATGGAGGGCACACTGGTATGTTAACTTAAAGGCATGGGTTATGTTGATCAGCTGCCGCTAACTGCAGCCAAGTGATCCCTGTTACAGGGACACAATTCTGCTCCAGTGAAGCATGGTCCCTGAGCACTGATTATTATTTTAAGTGGTTGTGCAACACAGACTCCACCTCGGTATGTAAGCAAGACACTAGGAATGCGATGGTTTTTCCAGCCCAAGAGTTACTTAATACCTTATTTTCACACTTCTTCCAGAGAGTAAACAACTGCCTGGTGCCATAAATTTACTGCTATGGAACATGATAGTTTTGAAATGTGTCTTATGGGAAGCCTCAGCCAAGGCTGAAATCAAACAGGTACCAACCAGCCACCTGTATTAGCACTCTGATACCAGTACCTCACTGCTTTCAGAAGGAAAGAATTACAGTGTCACCTACTGATGAGCCACACTTGCACAGATAAATCATTCCAGTGTGAATGTTTCTGGTCATGCTTTGCACTCAACTATTTTTTGTTTGGAAAGAGGTGCTGGCTCGGTAATTACTGTTCATCTAAATGTGATTGCACAGCCACAGCCGCACAGAAAGCAGCCCGAGGAGTCCAGAATGACTCAGCTACTGTGTGGGAATTATTCAGTTGTCTCCTAAGGATCTCAATAGGTGTTTGTTAGTGGGTAAACGTTGTTCCGGCTTTCCACTTGAGAGCAGAAGCTGTAAGCCGGAGGACAGCTTGGTCTTTGCTTTCACAAAGGCTGGGCAGGCACTTCTCTGTGTAATGCAGAGTTAAGTTACACCAGGGTGATTTGAACAGAGCAACTTCCTGGCACAGACATAGCCAAGAGACCAGCGGCGTTTCACAAAAGGCACCTCAGAAGCAGGCAGATTTTCAGGATCGTAGTAGATGAGCTTCATCCCATTGGGATGACATCCTGTCCAGATGTCTCCAGTGGATGGGTCAACAGACAAATTATCGACCAGAGTGTCCAGCTGCAGCTTCTATCCAACACAGAGGCAAAACAAGAAAAAGAAGGAAGTTAAAGCTAGCAGAGGTCCTGGAAGCAAACTATAACGTGACCAACAGGCTTGTCCAGGACTCTCATCTGACATAGCTTAGACTGAGTTTTTAAGAAATATTTTCTCCCCCTGCCAAGTGCTACTTTTCTTTTCCCCCTGGGTGCTTCATCCCCCTTTCTGTGCCATGAGAAACCTGCTTGCTGCTCCCCCATCTCCTCATTCACACCTGCACTTGTGTTGATACTTCAGTCAGAGCTTTGTGGTCTGACCCACACTGACTTAGGCAGACTCCCTCTGCAGATCTATAAGCACATCCGAGGATCCCCCTCTGGTTGCTGGTGTGAGTTCAGGAAGACCTGAAGCTCTTTAACGGGGCACACGGCACCTCTGCAAACCCACAGCAGGAGCCACCCAGACCGGAACTGCACACATGATCAGGTTGAAAGCACTCATGGGGACTAATCTGTCCAAAATGTACATGTGCCTTTTTATTAATGGAACAGCAGCACCTTACCTTCACATGGGTTAAATTCCAATTTGCATGTTTTTCCATAACATGGACATTATGATCAAATATATCTGCAATGTAGATGAACCTTCAAAAGAAAGCACCTCTTAGCAATGTGTATGAGAAAGGAGACACCAACCAGCCAGATCCTCCTGTGCAAGCCCAGCTCTGCCCATGACAAATGCCAGCTCTCGGCTTCCATGCAACAGGTACTGCAAGCAGGCCACAGGGCACTGAACTGAAGCCAACCTGCTGAGACACTACTGTAGCTTCACACTGTACCAGTTCTTCCATTACAACTCTGAAGCAGGCCTTGGATTGTGAGATCTACAAATAGGCTGGGGTTTTAATTCCAATCACCTATCTACATCACAGCACTGGGTACTTCTCAGTCACGCAGACTTCAACACTGCTGAGAATTCCCCACTTGGCACAAACCCTGCTTTGTTAATCCTTGCAAGCAATATACACAAACTGCTGTATTGGCTGGTTCAAATGCAGCATCCTTTGACCTTGCTGCATATAAACCACCCCGCAAAGCAGCAAACATTGCCACTAGTTGAAGCCTGAGACACATGACTTCCGTTCTACAAACCCTTCGTATCACTTACATTGTACAGGCCACCCCTTGCCATACATGAACCACTTCATACACTTAACCACAGAGGTACCATGTGTACAAACTAGGATTTAAGGATTCTTTTGTGTGATCAAGCAAAACCTAAGGTAAGGAGAAACTTACTTTCTGTCAGGTGAAATGTTAATTCCATTGGCTGAATAAAACCCAGCTGCTACTTCTTTCACTTCTTTAGGACTGTAGTAAACAACGTTTGACCAAGTTAAACCCAAGAACATCTCCAAGAACATCAAGATGAAGTCAGAGAAGTAGTGGTCATTGGTAGCATAGAAGCTGTCTGGTCCCACAGCTACCACATCATTCACACTAAAAGAAATAAAAAGGGAGGGACAAAAATCTATAAAAGAATGAAGTGAGAGGTATGAAGGAGCATTTTAGGACTGCTCAGAATCCAACCATGGGAGACATGGTCATCTTATAGATGTAAAGGGGCTGTAATTACAGATGTTTTATATAGACATATATATATATTTATATCCTTTTTACTTCTATTTTCTCTTATATGACCCAGGACACTGCAGGGCTAAGACCTGAACAGGACGATAGGGCATCAGCTAGAAATTTGGTTACCTGTCCATAAATCCATGGAAATTCTTCTCTCTTTTGATTACATTCAACTGGGAACCAGAGAACAGGCAGGAGTTGTGACAACTTCATCTACTGGGCTCTGTGTATTTTACAATCATTTTGCAGTAGTACAGACCAAGAAAATGTTGTGTGCCACAAAACAAGAAGATAAAAGTGTGTTTGCTTTCACAGTGTGGCAAATTCGGAGTAATAGAATATCTGAAGAGTCACATCTGCAATGACCTGAGAAATGGATGCCAAGCTAATTCACTGCATCAATCACAGTGGCACTTAAGGCTGATTTAGTGATACAACTAGTTAAAATCGCATTTACAGAAGAGATTGGAGAAACACATTTTTCAATTACACAGATAAGAAGTAGTCAATAAGAGAAACAGGAAAGCTGGTTAAAGAGAAAATACCTCATAATACCCTAAAACCAAAATCATCCTGCTTTGGGTTTTACCAAAGCAGCCTTGTTCTTCTGGGTGAAAACAGTATTTGGCTCCAGTACCTTGTCAGAAGGTCGTGTCGAATGGTTTTCAGGTGCACAAGAGAATTGTCATCTTCCACATATTTAAACAATTCTATTGTGCTCTTCTGATGAGGATGGTTCACAACAAAGAGGTACACGGTGTCATCTTAAAGAAAGAAATGGAAACAGCTGAATTCTCTGCAACAGTTTGTGTGGCTGAGCCCACACAGCCCTGAAGCAGGCTCTCGTACACAGCACATGTTGGGTTTGGTGCACTTGTGTCAGGGCTCTTCAAAGGAAGGACAAGTACCAAAGTAATGCAGGATGCCTCTGCAACTGGATCCAGTTCCTCTGGGCTCACTTTAGGGGGAACTGCTGTGTAAACTACGTTTGCAATTTCTACCAAGGAAGAAAGAAATCATGGCTTCCTCCTTGTGCCCAAGCCACTAGGTTTTGCAGTCTGACACACTAGAGTGAGTGGCTGCATGAAATAGCAGCAGTCAGCTGGGAAGGAGGGCTTGTAGGCCAGACCCTTTGGGCTCTTTGGTTTATTTACCTCATCTCTTGAGAATGCTGAAGAAGCATCCTGCTCCCATACCCTGTGTAGGGCTGTAGTTCTTCAACCCAGCCCTTCTGCTGAGACTCTAAATTAGCCACCACTGATTTCTCCAACACCTTCCCTGAAAGGGTGACTGTACAGGGACACAGGTCAAGCTGTAGCAATGGTTCTCTTAATGTCTGCAGACTTCCAGTTGCTCTGCTAAAATACCCAGTGAAGGACAGGGCAGGGGAAGAGAGGAAGGAGAGCATGAAGGATAGTTTATTGGCAGTCAGAGCCTGCCATAGGAAAACATGTCTTGGAGAAGAGTACATGGCTTAGCAACAGAGTACCAGGGATTTGGGTAATGTACAGAGAATTGGTAATTTACTGTTTAGCCATAGAAGTCTTCATTCTGGTCACTACTCATCAGTGAAGCATGTGTCTCCACAAAACCTTTGCCCCCAGGGTAAGACAGATGTAAACTGGTAAAATAAAGTTTGCGTCGCTTTCAAGTCCTCAGACTTAACCCGAATTTTCTTTCCTTTTAGTATACAGGACATCCTTCTGTTTCAAACAGCCCTATATTACGTTCAAAGGTGTTTGCTTTAGTAGCCAACATCTACAAAAGAACCCAACAAAGATAAAAAGCCCCAAAACCTTCTTCTCTCCCAGCAAGCAAATGATATTGGGGTGCAATGCCAGGCTGCAAAGGGACTTCTGCTTGTGCTCTTTAGGCTGAGATTTGCCACCACCTCAAACTAAAGATCTCTTTACCTTTGTCTACATAGGTGCTGATTCCATGAGGGTTAAAGGATGCCAGATCAAACCCTCGGCTGATTCTCAGTTCCACTGCTCTGGGATTGTCTTCATTCAAATCCATCAAAAATATTTCACCTGGCTTGTCTGGTGCAAAGCTCTTCATTCCTGGGTATTTCAAGCCCTGTAAAATCAATATAATTCCTGGATCAAAGGTAACGGGAAGCATCACAGGGCTGAAAACCCTGGAGCCTTGTTTGGGCTTGCAAGCACGCACCAGGATGTCCCTCTGCTTCAGCATACCATGCTGTAATGGAGGTAGAGGGACTGGCTCTGCTCTCTTTGGCGAGCCCTGAACTGCAGCACAGAGGGAGCAAGCTGTGTGGAGAGTACAGTGTGCCATGCCCAAGGCACCACCAAGCACCTGGGTGGGTGCTCCTGTGTGCCAGACAGCAGGGACAGACTGGAAGTACGGCACCACCGACTGCATCCAGCATGGTAAAGCCATGGGGAACAGCATCAGCGTGACAGCTCACCATTTCTGGCAGGAATTTTGCAACCTTATCATGCCCTGGGTTATCCCTGGAACATGTAGCTCAAAACATCAGCTTTTGTTTTAGAAAGTAACCGCTAGCCATCCTGACTGCAAAGAAAAGCTTGAAAACCTACCTCCAGAGGCTAAAAAGAAACCATTGGGAACAACCATATCAATACACATAATCCAATTTTTTTTAAAGGTAGCAAGTTAACACACCCTAACAAGGGAGATTTCAAGGAAGCAACGTGGAAGGAATTCAAGGTTACATGACACCACTTGTGTCAAGAAGTGGACTTGCTCAAGCAGAAGCGAAGCTAAGCTGAGTCAAGAAATGCCACCTAAGGTCACACAGATTTGGGCTGTTCCTATGGAGCCAGACAGTCTTATAGAAGAAAGAGTCCCTCTGCAATTTTCACCTATGGCTTGTGCAGATAATGAAGCAGGCAAGTCCCTGCATGGGGAGGGGGCATGGGCACTTACGGAGCTGATGAAAGCCAGTCCATTGGGAAGTACGTCAATGTCTTCAGAACCACTTTCTGCAAGACAGGGATAAGCAGGATTTTTCAGACAACATTAAGTATTCCCCATTGAAAAAAAAACACCTTTTTAGTACAATTCCAGCTCTCATGAACGTCCCTTTCTGAAATCACTAAAGTGATGAAGTTCAGCAGAAAAGATCATATCGCATAAGAAGTGGCAGCAGAAGGCAGCAGCACACAGATTAGGAAACAGTTCTGGGGGTCACCTCTTTCCGGGGTTTAGGGGTGCCCCCATGGTGCCCAGTCTCTCAGCCAGCTCCATGTGCCCTGTGGCAGCGTGGGATGAATCACCCCCTTTTGACAATAGCATTCTGCAGCAAGCAGTGCAGAGGATGAGGTTTCCAGGGCACGACCATACCCATCACTCAGCCTACATGCTTGCATAAGGAAGCTCTGGGAATTGCACACACTAATTCTCCCAGCTCAGCTGAGAAATTTCACTGAGATGGATTGCCAAATATTTAGTTAAAGCTCTCAAGTGACTCAGAACCTACTATATCTTTAACAGCTAAGGGCTTTAACAATTAGACCACGCTTTTAATTGCAGGTAATAATTTCCAATATTGTCAGTTCCTGTAGTTTCTGTAACAGTTTTCCCTGCTAGGAATATAAAATAAAGAAAATCAAAGTAAATTAAATTTTAAAAATTAAATTAAATTTATAAAATAAAACAAAATATAAAATATAAACTATGAACTATAAAATATAGGCTATGAAATATAAAATTCTTTCATAAGAACACTAGAACAACTTTAGGCCTTGACCAACCATACACGTACTACACAGAGCTTTTAGTCTGGTGCTGAAGTGCATTTGCATCCCACATTTTTGCCACTCCCCTGAGAAGCCTACCCTCTCTTCTCCAAATCACCAACACAAACAGCATTCCCCACAAACCACTTACCAGACAATGGCTGGATTAAACCCAGTCAGAGCATTTGCTTAAAGGAGTAAACTCTTCTGCCTGTTTTCTTTAACAGAGCTGCCAGCACAAAGGTTTTCCACCCAGCCTGTCACGTCTCTTCACAGGATCACAGAATCCCAAGGGTTGGAAGGGACCTGAAGAGATCATCTGGTCCAACCCCCCTGCAAGAGCAGGGTAACCTAGAGTACATCACACAGGAACTTGTCCAGGCGGGCCTTGAATATCTCCAATGTGGGAGACTCCACAACCCCCCTGGGCAACCTGTTCCAGTGCTCTGTCACTCTCACAGTAAAGAAGTTCTTCCTGATGTTAACGTGGAACCTTCTATGCTCCAGTTTACACCCATTGCCCCTTGTCCTATCACTGGACATCACTGAAAAAAGCCTAGCTCCATCATCCTGACACCCACCCGTCTTCATACCCTCTCCTGCTTGGTCACAGAGCACCTCAGCACCTCCTCCCAAGGCAGTGCCTTCAAATTCGAGCTGGTTTACTGTTAGCTTTTATGCAGCCCTTACTTATCCCAGGCTAATTCTGCCAGGCTGTAATTCATCCTGGGGCTGCCAAACAGCCCTTGTGCAGAGGAACCAGATCCCCAAATTTGCCCATCCAGGCAAGTCCTTCCCCAGCTCAGCTCTGGGGACACGTGGTGTCATGACTTTTGCTGTAGGGACAGGGGACAGGGACAGGGCTAACTCCCCCTCAGCCTCAGCAAGCCCCTACTCCACCCCACTACACTAAAAAGCAGAGCATCTCTGCCTTTGGAAGAGTGAAGGTCTGAAGATGCATCTTGGGTGGGAGCTGACCTGTGTTTGGGTCCTGAATTGTGACTGGGCTCAGGCAGGAGGCAGACACATGCACTGCTGTGCCCAGAGACACTCAGAACCTGCATTTTCCAACTAAAATTTTGAATTTGGGTTGTTTTTTTTCAGCTTAGCTCACATCCTGGCTTCAACAAAAAGCTCCTTTTCTTTGCCCCAGCTCTTGGTCTCTCCAAGTCTGGGCTCATTTATAATACAGGATCAGCAGCAATTCCCCACTTCTCAGGACTGCTGCAAAGATTAACAATATAAATAAATGCTGAGATGCTCAACTGCCACAGTGACATAAGCTGGACAGACAGCATTTACTAGCAGAGCACTCTGGTGACTGAATAAACAGAGATATAAACAGAGAGATAATCATTTATGGCTAGTGAATTAGTGAGGCTGCCAAGCGGAAAGATGAGCAGGCTAATTGGGAGCAGATACTTAAAACCCACAAGTTTCTGGTGGAAGGGGGATAACTAGAGCCCTGCACCCAACTACTCTGAAAGAAACCGCCCAGTAAAGTACATTTTGGCCACTTCTCAGCCATGTCCTTGTATGTGGGGAAGAGAGCGAGCACTGTTGGAAGAGCAGTGAAATGCTGACTCAGCTCAATCCTACTGAGCTGGCACTGCTGAGGCAGCAAGGAGGGGAGGGAGACACACAGTTGGACACAGGGAAGCTCCCAGGCTCTCCCTGTGGGCCTCATACTGGGAGGGCTCTCAGCTGCTGTTTTATGCACTATATGGGACAGGAGAACTAAGACCTGATTTATGAGGTATCAGTTATCTACCCTGTACTGCGATATTGTACAACTGAGATACAATCCATGGGATTATCTGAGATGTTTAAAAAAAAAAAAAGATACCAAAAAAAATTACTGCCTACCACAGAAATGTCTGGGGCTTTTCTCCTCTTCTGTATTTTATCTTAGTATGATGTATTCCACTGGTGCATCTAACAATAAACGAACCTGGATTTCATGTCCAAAAGCAAATGACTTTCACCTATATCCCATGAATTGCTCTAAGATGCAAGTATTTCTAGCAATTTTTGTAACAGCTTCTTCAACTTTTGGAGTTAGTACGGTTACTTTATCATAAACCAGTAACATGATTAGACACCGGTAAAATTCAGAAGATGCTGTTCATTCTACAAATACAGACTTTCCTGCCTATTTGTGAAATGAGGGTTAGGACAAGCTGCACTTTTTTATTGGTTTGTTCGGTGTTTGCATCTGTGCTTACACTGCACAATATTCAAAAATCAGAACAGATCAAAGTCTTAATAAATAGCGAGACAGAAAAGACGGAATTGCATAGACAGAAAAGGGTACACTAGAGAATTTTCCCACCTACTCTGAGTTTGCTTGCTTTACTATGGATGCATTGATTTTAACATAATTGTACTAGGCTGTACCAGATTCCTGTTCTTTTACATACAAAATGGATACTACAAGATTATTTTGTTCAGAGCTGATCCAGCTCATTACCTATATCCCACTTAACAGTTCAGAAGGACTGTTTTAAACATAAAGACAGATTTCTTTATTCAAGAAAAAGGCCCAGGAGGCCAAGATATTCATGTAGAAAGATATCATTACATGAAGTCACCCACAGGAGCAACCTTACATAGCTGAGTACAGCAAAATCCCTCATCCGAATAGTGCTACCTAGGCAGCATCCAGACTTTAGGGCTTCTTGGTCTCCCTGGGTAATATAATCCCCTTCACCCACAGTAAATGAATTTTGGAAGACATCTGCATGAACACGCAAATTTTAAGATTCCACAAAGTGTTTGTTATTTGTCTTTCCGCTGAATTATTTTTTGGCATTTTAACTTTTCTAAGGAGCAGCAAACAACAGAGGAAAGGCAAGGCACAGAGCTCCACATGAAGGGACACTGCTATGAGAGCCCAGGGAGAAGCAGAAATAAAGCTCTGTAAATTGATCCACTGCCACCTCTGAGCACAGCCAGGTTCTCAGAATTCACCTCATCTCCATGTAAATGTCAGCCACCAAAAATGAGATACTGTCTGGAAATTAAACACAACTGTATTAGCGATTCCCAGTTTTCCTTCTTTCCTCAACAGGGCAATCATGTTGCAATAAGTCTTGTAAAGACTGCAACAGTGATATGCTTAAGAGAATTACTCAGAAATGATTTTTATATTAATCACCATCATTGTTCAGTCTAGCTCAAACTAGAAGACCTGGAAAGTTCTCTCAAATGCAATTTCTTCATCACACAACCTCAGGCAAAGGAACTCTACTCATGCTCATTCACGGCAGTAATTTGACTTTGCAAAGTTTGATACCTGACATAAAGAAGAAGCAAGATTTATGAAATCAACACAGTACTCAGCAAGCTCAAAGGCAAATCTCACCCCATGACACATGCAAAATCCAGGCAAATTTCAACAGAATTCAAGACATTTGAGAAAACATTAAGGAAAAGAAAACCCCCAGTTACTAAACCTGTGTTAAGCTCAAAAATCAAAATTTGGAGGAAAGGGAGACACAAAGAAGTTATCAATTGTGAAACTATCCATTTGATACTCTGGTTATCCTAAAGGAAAAGAAAATACAAACTAGACACATTGCTGTGTGCTGAACACATGACCCACAGTACAAAGTCAACATTTCAGCCACTGTGTTAAACCTCTTCACAAACCATACTAAGAAGTCAAATATGACCCCTTGCTCTTGGAAACCACGCAGCTGCATTGCGCAACTGCACCGAGCTCCTGCCTGCTGTTTGCATGGGGTGGCACCAGTCTGCTCCTAAATCTCTGCAAAATGAGGTGCTAAGGCAGGGGATCCTGGTCGGCATTTACCAGCCTCTCCTTTGGCACATGCCTGAGTTCACTTCCAAAAGCTTCCACCCTTGCAGCATGTCCTGGCTTCAACCTGTCACTAGCTGACAGCCACCTCTAGGTGCCCACCTTAAGAGCTAGCACACCCTCGCCTAAAGCCAAATAATTTCCTGAGTGCCTTAGCAAAGGACAGGTGTGGGCAAGGTACTCATTTGCAAAGACATGGAGCAGAAATGCTAATACCAAGGGCAAGAAATGCTATACCAAACTAGCTAGGTTTCCAGTACACTTTTCTTCCCGCAATTTCTCCCTACCTCAAAGTCCAAGTAGCAAATGAAAGCCAAATTAGCGCTTTCTTTTGAGGATCAGGCTTGGAAGCTGGCTTTCAGAAGCAGTTGCAAAATAAGGCTGGACAAAAGCAATGCACTTGGTTATTTTCAGCACATACCAATCCCTTTAATGAGCCGGCAGTTCGGGAGGGTTACTGGGGCTATTTCCCGTGAAGCATTGAGCCTGTTCCTGCAAGAGGAAAGAGCGGGGTTAACAGCACACAGCCAGTTTTAGAACAGGTAACATTCCTAGCGTAGCTTTAACCTAGTTTTAATGTCTGCCATATCACGGCAACAAAACAGCCAGTAAAACACTGAATAAGCAAAACCCAGAACTGACAACAGCAATTGCTCCAAATCACTGTGATGGCTACACATGTCCAGGGATTAAGTGGTTCTCCTACACTGAGTAACTTCAGGAACCTGACTTTGCTCATGAGCTTCACAAACAGTCTTTCAAGACCCACTGTGGTTCAAATGATAAAATAACATAGCCACTCTTTCTTCAGGTTTCAGCCACCTAAATATAGCAGCACCCCACAGTTAGAACCAGCATTTCAGATGACGAGAGGGTGACCTTCTACCCCAACCCACTGGCTATTTTTGGTGGCCAGGCCACCAGCAGTTGCACTTTCTTCATTTCTTAGTCCACATTCAAACACAACGATAGCATTCCTGCAAGGCGGCAACAACAGGTAGGACTTGGTAGTACAACTTTCAGCGATTAACCCTGTCCCATTCTCTTCTCTCCTGGTACCTACCCAGAGCATTAACCTTCAGCTGTGCTAAATGCCCACAAAATCTGACCACTGGCTCATCCTTTACTAGACAAGCAGATACAGACAGGTAACTACACATGAGTTTCTATTTCTCCACCTCCTTCATTCCAAGTCATCTACGATTCTACATGAAAGGCACTTTACCACCAGGATTGCTGTATTTGACCATGGTCTACAGTGCCATAAGAAAACATGTTGTGTTTCTATGTAAAAATGTCAAGCTAGCATACTAGAATATTTCTTCCTTTTTTTTTTTTTCCCAAAAGAAAGCATTTAAACTAACACAGTTGTTCCTTCGCATGCCTATCATACACACATGTTGAGGCTGTACTTGCTCCAACCACAGGAAATTCTCAATGCAAAGATCCCATAGCAAAACATAGCGATGTTTATGTTATAGTTTTAGGCATAAACATAAACTAAAGAGCAGAATCAGTACGTGGTATGAAAAGTATGTGATACAGCTGAGCACTGGATGGTATGTCAGCCCTGAATGGTTTCTAATCACTTAATTATGAATTGTAAATTGCTTCAGTGCTGTACTATGAACACAGGTTCTTAACATAAGGCCACAAAAAAAGGAAGAAAAAGGGTAAAAAGGGCAGAGAACAGCAAGGGAAAGGAGCCAAGTTACACTCTCCCAAGCCCTCTCTCACAGCTCAGGAGCCCCAACAGAGAAGTACACTGGCTCCCAGCCCACAGGCAGCACAGAGGGGATCTCAGCTGCCCCCTCATCCTCCCCCCTACTGGGCCCCAAGGGTGGTTTGGGGTGATCATGCCCTGAGTTTGCACCGCTGCCTGCTTAGGGCTTTTCCCTTTTCTATTTGCTCCAGCTTTTCCTGGGCAGAGTGCAAGCCACCCAGCGCCAGAAGCACAGCAGGAGCTCAGCCAGCAGCCAACAAGAGATGATGATATCCCGACAGCATTCCCAGCAAAACACTTTATGGGCTGGAATGAGAGTTATTCAAAAGGACGCTGGTCACAAGCCTGCAGCATATACAGAGGCTTTTACAAAATGTGACAGTTTATCTAGCTCAGACAGCCTCAGCCCCTAAGCCAGATGGCCTAGATAACCAACTGGCCATGCTAAAAACACAGCGAACCTGCAAACTGTGGGGCATGCAACTCCAAAAAAAAAAAAAAAGCAGGAATTTTGCTACTTGGTGCCATTCCAGTGCACAGCACCTTTTCCCACCCAGTTCCTCTTTCCAGTTTCAGTCCCCCACTCACTGTCCCACTTCGTGAGGCACAGACCACAGGCATTCCCTTTCCTTCAGCTGCAACCTGTTGCATATTCAAAGACCTTGCTCTCTTTCAGCTTTCCTCTCCTCTAGCCTAACCAGTCCTGGAATCTCTGAGGGGTTTTTCCCCTGACGGGAATGAAAATCACCTCCTACTTTTGTTTTTGCTCCCAACTCTTTTCAAACCATCAGCATCTTTCTGGAAGCACGTTGCAGTTTTGAACCTAGCATGCAAGCTGAGCTGCATCATTACACAGCATTATGAAACGGCAACATTGTGTGCATAAATATCCACACATAGATACGAACAGTAACACCGTGTGCATACTGAAAAACAGAAACACAGTGTAATTCACATTCAAGATTTACAAATTAGCTCAGACCTTTCTTCAAAGAATTAGAAATATAAAATACCCAAGGAGGAATCAGTGCAGTATCAGTTTGTAACACACAGAACTTCACCTGTTTTCTGCTGCATGCACCCTACTCCAGTACATCTGGTAGTTATCAACAGTATAATAGATGCATAAACCGACCCAATATAGGAAGAATTAAGCTTGTAAGAGATCTGTATCAATTCTTCGAGCTTTTTTTTTTTTTCATTTCAGGGATTCATGTCATACTATACAGACCCAATACACCAATCTCAGAAGGAACAGCAAGGAGTCTTTGCTGGCTTCCTGCCTTCTGGGGGATGGGTAACAGAGAGGCCTGGCAGGAGTTAACATTACCCACGGTTTCTCCTCCCAAGACTGTGTTAAATGATCATAGAGTACTGTGTGACCTGAAGTTGTGTGTTTCCGAACTCTGCAACCGCCTGAAGACTGCTGCGATGCTGCAGTTTGCTGAAAACACAACACAGTAAAAACTCAAAGAGCTACAGAGACATGGGGGTCCTGTTTCTATCTGCTTTACCAGATTCCCAATATTGCATTTGTTCATTTGATTTGGAGGGGACGTGAGGTCCCTGCTCTTCACAGCACTTTGAACTGGCTCACACCACTACAGCTTGGGGTGTGTTTTCCAGCTTGTGCAACTCCAGGGCAGGAGGGTCCTGTTACCACCGTGGTTATTGCTAATGCTTGAAGCGGATTTCATGCAACATGCGGACACATCCATGCCAGGTACCTGGGTCCACGGAGTACAGCCCTCCTTCTGTAATTAGCTGTAACTACTGTCTACCCAAAGACCAATTAACTGGATGTCACTGCTTTGAAGTCAGGCATTTGGAGTCCTTGTGGACATGAGCAAAATTATAATGGCATAGCTGCCTTGCAAAACAATAACTCATATTCGCTCTTCTGGCCTGAAAAAAACAGCGATGTATTTAGTAGCTTTCAGCACAGAAGTTGCTCTAACAGTGTTCACATTCACACCTCATCATATGAGGTGCATGATATGGAGCATGACATGGCTGGGTATTTTAGCTTACAGTGAGTGAGGTCCCAACTCACAATCACAGAATTCCATGCTCCTCCAGAGGAAACCTCATGTACACAGGGGCTATTGTTATCCAGAGGTCAGCTTTGAGAGAAACTAGCAGGTTTCTGGCAATCTGATTTCCACGTACTGTTTCGCCAGCCGGCAGGAGATGAGGTCAACTTGCAGATACCAGATTTGGCACAGCCCTCTGCAAAACCAGAGGTATAAGCCCCCCTGCCCCAGGGCACCCTCTCACCAGCATCTTTCTGGGGAGGATTTCACATGCCCGTTACCACAACTGGCATATCCACTGGACAAATGCTCCTGAAGTTAGTTTATGCCTGACAGAGGACGAGAAGAGCACTGCTGAACAAGTGCCTAGTTTTCTCTGGAGAAAGCCGTTTTCCTTCATGCTAACAGTGACGGCGATGATGCTGACGATGAACCCTTCCCCTTTGGCCATAACCATGTTTGTGCAGAGCAGCTACTCGCTGAAGTTACGTCCCAGATAAGGAGCCGAAGTGCCGAGGAGGGGTGCACCCGTGCGGCTATCCCGCGCCGCTGGCACCGGGGCCCGCAGCTCCGACACCCCGCAGCCCACACCGCTCGGGGTCCGGTCCCGGCTGCCCGCACCCCCCGTGATCGACCTCCACCCGGGCACCACAGCTTGCCCCCGCCGCGCCCGGTCCTGCTCACCGAAAGGCCAGCAGCCGCTCCACAGCCAAGGCTGCCGCTATCCCGGCGAGAGCCAACGCCAGCAGCTTCCCCATGGCCGCCCGCAGCCCCGCGCCGCGCCGCGCCGCGCTGCCCCCTCCGCCGCGTCCCGCCCCGGGGCACGGTCCTGCACACACCGCCCCCAGCCCGCCTCCCCGAGCACAGCCGCCCGGCCCGCCCGCGCCGCCGGCGGAAGCGCGTAACCTACCCTGCGAAGCCGGCTCTGTCGGCCTGGAGCCCCTTTGGACATGATGGCTGCCCTCACTGCCGCGGTCCTACGAACAGCTCTCCTCTCCATGCGGGAAAAGAGCTACGGAGCCCACCTTCGGGGCTTTGGGATTGCTCCATGCAGCAAGCTGCTTTTGCATCAGCTGCAGCACTGGCCTCCATGTGCTTTCTGCTTTTCTGGGGAACAGGCTTTGGTGGGTTGATACCCTCCCTCAGCAGTTATCTTTCCCTCTTCTTCACAGTGAGTGCCCACACCTGCAAGGCTCACATTGCTTTGAGCTTTTCTGAAAGACTGAGAAATCACTAAAAAGTGCTTCTCTGCTCTTCTTGCACTTGTTCTTGAGTCCAGGCGGATTCTCCACACTCAGTAACACGTCAAGTAAGGTGTGTTGTGGAAGAGGAGGCACTCTAAAAAGCCATTCCCCCTCAGTTTTGGAATACCTCTTTTCCTATTTCTGGTCCTTGATTACTTTAGAATATTAGGTAGCTGAGAGTTTTCTTGGGGGGAGGGGGTTGTTGGTTCTCTGTTTGTTTTGCCTGTGCATACACATCTCACTAATGAAATCTGCTTCAATCCTAGAAGTACGTGGCAGGGTGGGTGGGTGGGTAGCAGTATTCAGAGTTTGGGGATATTTGGGATGATAAAGTCCAGTAGCCGCTGCTCAGATAGTAACATTTTGTAATGCTGCCAATCCTCCTACAGCCATGGGCTTTGCCTTCTCTATGAACACTTGTAAAACTTGGTGTCATCTGCAAATTTACTGAGGGTCCATCTGTTCTCCTTGTCCAGGTCATTGATAAAGATATTAATCACAACTGGCCCCAGTCCTAAGCCCTGAGGAACACCACACCGACTGCGTTTATCTCCATTCACCAGCACTCTGGGCGTAGTCATCCAGCCTGTTTTGTTACCCAGTGGAGAGTACACTCATCCAAGCTGTGGTCCACAGTGCTGTGGGAAATAGTCTCAAAGGCTTTGCTAAAGTCTTGCTGGAGAACATCCACAGCCTCATTCACTAAGTGGATAACCTTGTCACAGATCAGGTTAGTCAAGCAGGACTCGCCTTTCATAAACCCATCCTGACTGGTTGTCATGTACATGCTGCATGATGGCACTCAAAATGATCTGCTCTGTAACCTTCCTGGCATTACGTACCACAGCCTTTTCTTCATCCTTTGTCACTATGTTTCCCGGGGCGGGGGAATGAAGAGGGGAAGAAGACCTAATTCCTACATGACCATTCTCAGGTGCTTCTGTTGTTTCTAACACATCAATAACCCTTGTGTCTTTGCTGCCACGTGGATTTCCATCCCCTACTTCCACCTCAGACATCTGCATGCTGCCCCCAGGCTTGTCTGTAGCCAGCTTGGTCTTATCCCTTTCCCTCTTCAAATCTAGTTTAAAGCTCTTTCAGTGAAGCTGGCTAACTCCTGTGCAAAGATTCTTCCCCCTCTTTGAGACAGGGGTACCCTGTCTGTCACCAGCCAGCTTGGTGTTCTATAAACTGACCCATGATCAAATACCCCAAAATTCTGTCAGCTTACACAAGGATGATTTCTTATGTCAGCTTGCTGCAGCACTTCTTTGCTGGCATAGCATTTTTCATTTATTTATTTACACACAGTTTAATTTGCAAGAGCACACACTGCTTACTGTCTCAATTTTGGCATGAGGTGGGTGCAGTTTATCTGTTAAAATGTGAATGTATACAGAGAAGATGGAGAAATCAGAGCTAGTCATAAGATTGCAAGAATGCCCCTACTCTGTCAGGCCAAGGGTTCATCTAGCTCAACAGCCAACAGATGCAGTAGACAGGAGCATAGGGAAGAGTAAAGAAATGGGGGTGAAGTTGCATAAATCCCCAAGTTTCTTTCCCAGCTACTAATTATTTTCAGTTCAATACAATCTTTACATATTTAGTAACACTTAACAGATTTATCTTCCAAGTACTTTCCCGTCTTCCCTTGACGTGAGTTGTGCTTCACGGTACATTTCTCTGAAGTCAAGCTACCTAGGCACCCTGTATAGTCAGGGCAGGAAAAGTTCCTTTAAGATAGCAATTCACATGAAAGGTGCCTAAAATAGATCAAGAAATCTTCCCTAAGAAGTGGCCATTTCTCTGCAAAGGAACCTGCAGTGACTAATTCAAGTGCAGAAATCTGCTGTGTGGATGCCTGAAGGTAGATGGAGTGAATCTCCCTTGAAGTCTCAGCGCATCAAGTCACCCTTGACTGAAGAAAGAGCCTGGGTTTCTCAGCAGCTTACCTCCTCAGCACAATCCCAGCCAGCCTGGGGCCTGCCCATTGGCACTGTTAGCATCTGCTGAGGTTTCCCCTCCCCAGCACCCCATGGCCTGCCTGAGCGGCTGCAGCAATGCTGGAAAACAACCCACTGGCTGCAATTGGGTCTGTTATGAATTCTCCTGAGCTTTTTGCCTTTGGGGCACTCAGGAGAGACCTGGGAATTACCTTATGCCACATAGAATAATGACTAAAAGCAGGAATGGGTTGTGTGCACATAATCAGCTGTGGAGGGATATGTACAAAGCCTGGGGGCGGAGAGAGTAAGTGAAGTGGGGAGACAGGGTAAGTCTTATTCTCATTTAGCTATTTAAACTCCTCTACAGGCAAGGAAAGAAAAGAAGCCTTCTGTAAACATGTACAAGGAGGGGATTTATTACATCCAGGGAAGCACGGTGAAGCAGGACAAATATTCTGTAGATGCCTAGTCTCCCTCCCTCTCTCCCAGCTATAGAGGGAAGAGAAACAACTTGCTGGGAAAATAAAAAGTAACATTTAAATGACTGAAGGTAAAGGGGATTTTTCCTACTAAAAACTTTTATATCTGTCTCTTATGAAACATACGCCACTTACATGTGCTTCTCTATCATGTATCAGCATCTTTTTTTTAAGAGATAAGATACAGAAGATATGTACACACAGGTTGGGATTCACAACACACTATTTCAAAATGCATCATGCTTGAGTCATCAATGAAACACAATGTATTTTACCAAACAAACTGCTAAAAAGCTGAAACTCTCTTTTAATCCAGCTTTTTCTCTCTCTTATACCAATGTGAATCTGAAGTAAATTCACCAATATCTGCATTGCCAGGGTATTTACTGTGTATTTACACTGAAGATTAAAGGTCAGATCACTACTCTAGAGCACTCTGGGGTGGCTGGCCTGACTAAATGCAGAAGCCTACAGTGCAGACCTGATAATATTAACTAGACCCTTCAGCCCATGGAGGGCACTGTGGGACTCAAACGAGGGAGGGCATTGAGGGCAGATCTGATCAACAGCTGGCAAGGAGTCAAACAGCACTCATTGACCCAGACCTGCTTGACAAATACTGGATCAAATTCAGAAAAGGACATGTGAGCATTAAGACAAAGCAGGCGTGTGGAAGCCACTAGAGATCAACCTTGGTGTTGCTATAGTTTAACTGCAGAAACAAGCAGAAGACGTCAACACAGTGTGGACAGTTTCAAAGAGAGTCTGATGAGATCTTAAATTCATCAGTCTTGCCAAGTGCACATCTTAGGACTGGCTTAATGAAAAGGGCACATCCCTCAGATTGCTGCTGACATGCAGGTGCTGCATCAGCTTCAGGTAAAAATAAAAGCTGGCAGGCAAGAAAGCTGCTTACCACAAAACAAGGCAGAATCACAAGCAAAGCGTGTGGTTTGCATACTGAAAGATGGGGGGAAAAGCTTCACAAGCTGCCAATCATAGAAATTACAAGATTGTCTACAAAGGCTGTGGCCTAAAACCACTTTATTATCTGATCAAAGGGAAATTGCAGATGGCTTTCTCAAAGACCTCAGCAATTTCTTAAACCCTTCATTCTTCAGCTCTGCTAGAATTAAAAACCATTTCTTAGCTCCGTGTTCAAAAGCAGGGAGCAGAGCTTTCTACAGCAGCTGAGCAGCTGCTGCAAGGCAAGGCAAAGTCCCTGCTCACGCCCTACTACTATACATAAATACAGTGTCACCATCTAGCTAGGGAGTTCACCACAATTGCCTAATAAAGAGAGAGTACTTCAAGGAGTTCAAGAATACAGATGCAGAGTGCCTTTTACAAAGGAAAGGTAAAAACATTCCTGAAGAGACAGCAAGGTATATTGATTTTCTCAACTGCTGAGAAAAATCTGTGTCAAAATGACATCAATAGATTTGTGGGTGAGGGTGTTGAAAAGGCTCTTGCAGAAGCAGTCTGGCTTTCAGGCTTGTCCTACTTCAAAGCGAGCAAATGTCTCTACCTGGCCTTTGCAGAGCTAACTAAAAACCCCATCACTGTCAGCCATGAGCAGCCCAGAGGCATCTGCATAAATTTGGGTGTCCAAGTAAGTCTGTGAGCATATTTTGGTTATTTCATGATGGTGTGAGGTAATGCAAAGGTTCTCAGTGATGACAAGATGCCAGAATATGTCACTGTCAAAAACAGCCCCGAGCAAGGCTATGTCCTATCTCGGCTCTTGTCTATTGCCCTTTATGTAGCAGTGCTTCTTGCTGCATCTGGAAGCAGAAGTGAAGGGAGCTGCTTTAATTATTTTATAGGTGGCAGAATTGCTAACCTGGAGAGATGCCAGGCTAAACTGAAAGTCAGAGAGGTCCTCTCAGATAATGTGCCCTTTGCTGCCGACAGTGTGCTGGGTGTGCAGAATATTACTGATGGCTTTGATTGCACTGCCATGGCTCAGCCTTCTCACAAGCATAAAGCAATTAACACTGACTTTTTCAAAAGGATGCTGAGCCAGTGCTCTGCATTGGCAATAAAATGCTTAAGTCTTGCAGGTGAAATTCTTCGTATCAAACACCATGACTGATAATGGTCATTCTAAGGAGGGAG